GACCTGCACCAGGCTGGGAAGACTGAATCTGCAATAGGTGCGCAGCTTGGTTTGAAGAAATCAACTGTGGGAACAATTATTAGGAAATGGAAGACATACAAGACCACTGATAATCTCCCTCGATCTGGGGCTCCACGCAAGATCTCACCCCGTGGGGTCAAAATGATCACAAAGCAAAAATCCCAGAACCACACGGGGGGACCTAGTGAATGACCTGCAGAGAGCTGGGACCAAAGTAACAAAGCCTACCATCAGTAACACACTCAAATCCTGCAGTGCCAGACGTGTCCCCCTGCTTAAGCCAGTACATGTCCAGGCCCGTCTGAAGTTTGCTAGAGTGCATTTAGATGATCCAGAAGAGGATTGGGAGAATGTCATATGGTCAGATGAAACCAAAATATAACTTTTTGTGTTTGGAGGACAAAGAATGCTGAGTTGCATCCATAGAACACCATACCTACTGTGAAGCATGGGGGTGGAAACATCATGCTTTGGGGCTGTTTTTCTGCAAAGAGACCAGGACGACTGATCTGTGTAAAGGAAAGAATGAATGGGGCCATGTATCGTGAGATTTTGAGTAAAAACCTCCTTCCATCAGCAAGGGCATTGAAGATGAAACGTGGCTGGGTCTTTCAGCATGACAATGATCCCAAACACACCGCCCGGGCAACGAAGGAGTGGCTTCGTAAGAAGCATTTCAAGGTCCTGGAGTGGCCTAGCCAGTCTCCAGATCTCAACCCCATAGAAAATCTTTGGAGGGAGTTGAAAGTCTGTGTTGCCCAGCGACAGCCCCAAAACATCACTGCTCTAGAGGAGATCTGCATGGAGGAATGGGCAGAAATACCAGCAACAGTGTGTGAAAACCTTGTGAAGACTTACAGAAAACGTTTGACCTGTGTCATTGCCAACAAAGGGTATATAACAAAGTATTGAGAAACTTTTGTTATTGACCAAATACTTATTTTCCACCATAATTTGCAAATAAATTCATTAAAAATCCTACTATGTGATTTTCTGGATTTTATTTTCTAATTTTGTCTGTCATAGTTGACGTGTACCTATGATGAAAATTACAGGCCTCTCTCATCTTTTTAAGTGGGAGAACTTGCACAATTGGTGGCTGACTAAATACTTTTTTCCCCCACTGTATATATAATCTCTCATACTGGACTATAGACTATATTGCCTGGAGGCCAAAGGGATTATCTATGATGTGAACTAATAACAGGTGCTACATATACTTCACTAATATTAGGGTTGCGGTCAATTCCATTTCGACTTCATCAATAAGCAGTATATGGAGTCCACATAGATAACATTTCAGTAAATCTTCTGCAGAATGTAGTTGGTTTCAACCCAATGTGGTGTGTTATGGTCTGTGCGAATGTGGTGTGTCTGTAAACTGTGTTAAGGACACTTCAGGGAAGTAATGCAAGGGTCAAGGAATTTTACTACATTTCAGATGTAATCATTAAATATAATCAATCAGTGATTTAAATGCTTCTTAACTCTTACTAAATCTGAACTTTAAAAAATGCACAAATGAATGGTGTTCTGCAGGACAGATTAGGCAGTGTAGGTTCATGTTTAGGTTACTTGATCAACGAGAACATTGTGACATGAGGGTAGAGTAAATAAATTCACAAGGTGAATGAAGGCTAAGAGCATGTTGAAGGAGAACGAGATGAACACTCAGAATAGTAAACCTACGGCCTGTTTCACAAAGAGAGCTGGAATGTGATGAATGTACATTATAAATGTAAGCTGTGAATGCTGTACAAGCCAGTCCTGTTAGCATCACCATTAAACTCCCGTCCCTGATCAGTGTGAAGAAGCATGGGGATGCCACACCCACCTTCTTGGATGTCTCCCAGCCTGCAGCCTGGCTCCAGCTCCAACCTGCAGCCTGCAGCCGCTCTGCTCCAATATGGGGAATCCATTTCTCCTCCCCAGCAGGAGTTGTAGATCCATTTTACCTTCCTCCAACGACTCCCCGTCAGCCCTCTCTTTCGCTCTCTCTCTCTCTCCACTCCACTCCACTTCCCCCTCTAGTCCCCAAGTTTCCATAGAGAAGTGCCAAGAATACACCTCCCCAGCACAGAGGAAATAGTTGGGGTTTAGGGACTGTAATTGTTGTGGTTTGTTATTATCACGTAACGTGTCTGGTGATGGATGTGATGGGTATTTGTGTTGTCTACACTGGGTGGTACGGCTGTCTCTGTCTGTAATTAGTGTGTTTATAGGCATTACGGTATGGTAACTAAGTATGATTTGTATGTTGTGTGTACGAACAAGAGAATGTGAGAAAGATCAAGAGTGTGAGGCAAAGAGTGTGTGTAAGAGTGTTTGTGGTATATGTACTGTGTATGTTGGCTGCTCACTCCCCGAGACTGTTTTGTGGTTCGGCCCCCGCTGGCTGTCAGTTTTTACACTTGGAGTGTTGTTTCTGTTGTTCTGGTTCTCGCCTCTAAGCGTGTGTAAATCTCACAGCTCCTGCCAGGACCGAGTCAGCCATAAGACTAGCACCATGGCTACAGACATCGCCTCTCTAACCTAACCATGGAACATGAGTGTCGTGTGAACTTGGGTCCTGTACATGGATGGTTTAAGAACAGATATGGCCCAAACGACTGTGAGGTTAGATAGACTTTCTTAAGCCAGCCAAAACCTCAGCAATGTGTGTTTTCCTTATTCTAGAAACGTGTTAAATGATAGCAGTTGAACTTCAGGCAGAATGGACAGATAACTCCATGACAGTTTGGACACTGTTTCATATTTATTTATTATAATTCATATGAAAAATGGCACACCTGTTTCACAGGGAGCAGGTACACATTCAACCTCAGGATATACACACACGCACAGACAGCTGACCATACAGACATTGTGTTTGAAAATCCATGACACACAGTCAGATTAGTCCGCTTTGGGACATTTATGCACTTCTGCAATTTCATGAACTGGCACTTACGGCTGGGTTGTGTGTACTGTCCCAGTACAGAGCCAGTTCTAAACTACAAGGCAAGAGGGATTCCAGAGTACAAAAGGCACCTTTAAGATTAGCTCCCAATGTGGCGGGCAGTCGTGACTTTGTAAGTATTCTTCTTATCTGCTGAGGTGAAAAGAACTGACAAAAAATGTTGGAAATGCCCTGAAACCTTCAAGCACAACTCCAGTCTACCTTCAGTTAGCACAGAGGGACACACACACCTCTTTCACAGGGGGGAGGCTTAGTGAAGGGGAACAGTTGGCAGACAGTTTTTACTGCATTATTAACTCAGCATTCTTCAGAAGGCTGCCGATCGCAGCTACACAGGGAGAAAGCATGGCACTCCTGTTCACACACTCACACACCTCCTTTCACCTTTTGGGCACATTTATTTCCAAGTCCTTGTGTGAGTGTTTGTGTATTTTCATTTTGTGGGTTCTCCTGTGTATATGCAAGTGTGTGAGCGTGTGTGTATTTCTGCTCAGGGCAGTGGTTAGGTTGTGTGTGTGTGTGTGTGTGTGTGTGTGTGGTAGGGGTGGAGCGTCACAGTCTGTGTCCTCCTGTGTTCACTTCATTGGACTTTAACTGGTCTACATGGAGAGAGGGACTGCTTTTCACATCCCACCACCTGCATTTCCCATTACACACTACATATACTCATATACACACATCCTCACACACGTACATCTGTTAACATACATCCATTCACCACCATATGTGTTCACGCACACACAGCACATACTGTACATATGAAGAGTTTAATTCCAAAGCGCTATCCATTTTCTGAAATATTGGTAAATTAGCTTTTATTGTTTAAAGAAACTATGAAAGAGATTGGTGTGTTTTTTCACTATCTAATCAGGGCATGGGGTTGTTCAGTGACAGACATGTATTTGTTTGAAATCTATCACTTGATGGCTTCATTTCAGAGAGACAAATAATCATGTTTTTTTTGGCCAAATGCTATATATCCACCTCACTCAGAGAAATAAGTAGTACTGCTAGTTTTTACACAGTCACATGTAACAAAGAACTAGATTTTAAAAAATAAGAACTGTACAAATTATACATCTATAAAAAAAATCTATACAGTAATATGAGATCTGTATGTAAAACATCTACATTTGACATTTTTGTCACTTAGCAGATGATCTTATCCATTGTGACTTACAGTTAATGAATTCATCTTAAGATAGCTAGGTGAGACAACCATATCACAGTCAAATAAACAGCACACCAACATTCCATTCCAGCTAAACAATGGATATAAAGCGTTTAGAAAAAGAAAAAACATATATCATATGCATCTAAAATCTATTCATGAAAAATCTGAGAACAGTAATATTTTACACACACATGAAGGTACCCATAAGCAATCATTTCTGATTGTAAAAAACACAAATGTGAAAAATTGGTTGATATAGCGTTTTGGAAATAAACTCTTCATATATTCACAGTTCACATACACACACACACACACACACACACTAGACACAGCACCCTCACCACCCGTACTGTACTGTACTGTACATACACACATTCACTCATTCACTCATTTACACATACAACAATGCTACACCGATGTTAAACACGCATACGTACGTGCTGAGAGTCGTTGGCCATGGTGAGTAGCATCACCCCTCTATGTGATTGTGTTTTCTTGAATGAGGACAACCAGACAGATATACCCCTTTCTTGTCCTCGCATACTCTATCTTGGGGTGAGGTCGACTCAGTCAGAATCATTACCCTGAGGCAATGTTTGCCAAACCTTTACATATCATACATATCCCACTAGGCACAGACGTCAATTCAACGTCTATTCCACGTTGGTTCAACGTAATTTCATTGAATTGACGTGGAAACATCGTTGATTCAACCAGTGTGTGCCCAGTGGGATGTAGGACAGACAGACAACTCACTGTGGCTGGTCAGGCACAGATCCCAGCTTGGGTTTTACAAGTCCTCTGTGTGAGCCTGAGTCCATATCATTCTCTCTCCAAGCTGGCGAGCTCCCAATGTCCCCATAAGGTTTCTCATGCAATCTCCATAAGCTTTCTCACGCAATCCCCCTAAGATTTTCTGGCAGAGTTCCACAAAGTCCTCACAAGGTCTGTTACACACAGTCCACAAAATGGCCCTTCCTCAAACTGTTACTGGAGGGTACTTCTGCTCACTGGTGGCACTGGTGGGTGGGGGGTAGGGGGACTGCAGCTGTCTGTAGCCCCCCTGGGTGGGGTCCAGGTAGACCCCCTGGGGTGGGGACATGTGGTGGGTGGCGTAGCCGATGTACTGGGGGTGGATGAACTGTGCCTGGTGGGGCATGATCTGGGTGGCCTGCTGGCAGTTGAGCACAGAGAAGTTGGTGGGCATGTTGACGAACACACTGGCGTCTGTAGGCAGACAGCAGGAGGCCTGGGTGCGCATCATGGGCTGGGGAGCCGGGCGAGGTGCCTGGGCAGGAGGGGCAGAAGAACTGGACGAGGTGGCCGTGCTTGATTGGCGGGAGGAGGAACCGCGAGACGTGCCCACACTGGCCATCATGGGAATGGTCTCAAGGAGATGGCCGCCGCCAGACCCGCCTCCCCCGCCCCCTGATGACAGTTCCTGTTTGGGGCGGAGACAGTGGCAGCAGCACACGGCAACCACGGAACCCACCAGGACGAAGGCCACGAATACAGAGCCCACGATCAGGAAGGGAACGTAGATGGGTACTGTGGAGAGTGAAACAGAGAGAAAAGAGAGGGAGAGAGAGAGAAAGAGAGAGATACAGAAAGGTATAGTCAGTGATTTGACGATAACACGTGGATTTTCAATAAACAACAAAAAATGGGTCTGTTCTCTTTCTCTCATTATCAAATATACAGTATGACAGGAATGACAGTATGACAGGAATGACAGTATGACAGGAATGACAGTATGGCAGGAATGACAGTATGACAGGAATGACAGTATGGCAGGAATCAAGAAGCAGGCTCATTCTCTCTATAACAAGCAGAGCAGAGTGAGGACAGAACTTCCTCAGACCATAACCACTTACGCCCTCAAAGAAAACAAACTGAACACAGTACAACAGCAACATGATGAAGTGGTTTATTTTCTGCCATGAAGACTTTTGACGTGATTTTGGAAAATGCCCTTGTTTGGTTGAATGAGTCAAGTTGAAAGACTACGAGTCAACCACCATGAGGAAACCAGGTTGTCTAGAGGTTAAACCAAGAGCTTTTACAGTCACCCACAAACCCAAATCTCCCACGTGAGTGAAGGGAGAGATGGAGTGAGACGACTAGACAAAAGAGAAAAGATGGAGAGACAAAAGGAGAGATAGAGGTGGACTAGTGGCGTGTCTCCACGGGGCCCCAGTCCCTCATTAGTACTTATTAACTTTGTTTTGATCTGTTCTAATCCTGCACGCCCAGCTGTGACCCCGCCGCCCCCCTCCGCCACCCCCCTCCGCCACCCTGCACCCCTCTGTGTGTGTGTGTGTGTGTGTGTGTGTGTGTGTGTGTGTGTGTGTGTGTGTGTGTGTGCGTGCGTGCGTGCGTGCGTGCGTGCGTGCGTGCGTGCGTGCGTGCGTGCGTGCGTGCGTGCGTGCGTGCGTGCGTGCGTGCGTGTGCGTGCGCGTGCGTGCGTGCATTTGATCTGTGTTTACAGTGGCTTGCGAAAGTATTCACCCCCCTTGGCATTTTTCCTATTTTGTTGCCTTACAACCTGGAATTAAAATTGATTTTTGGGGGGTTTGTATCATTTGATTTACAGAAGATGCCTACCACTTTGAAGATGCAAAATATTTTTGGGGGTGAAACAAACAAGAAATAAGAATTTGAGCGTGCATAACTATTCACCCCCCCCAAATCAATACTTTGTAGAGCCACCTTTTGCAGCAATTACAGCTGCAAGTCTCTTGGGGAATGTCTCTATAAGCTTGGCACATCTAGCCACTGGGATTTCTGCCCATTCTACAAGGCAAAACTGCTCCAGCTCCTTCAAGTTGGATTGGTTCCGCTGGTGTACAGCAATCTTTAAGTCATACCACAGATTCTCAATTGGATTGAGGTCTGGGTTTTGACTAGGCCATTCCAAGACATTTAAATGTTTCCCCTTAAACCACTTGAGTGTTGCTTTAGCAGTATGCTTAGGGCCATTGTCCTGCTGGAAGGTGAACCTCCGTCTCAGTCTCAAATCTCTGGAAGACTGAAACAGGTTTCCCTCAAGAATGTCCCTGTATTTAGCGCCATCCATCATTCCTTCAATTCTGACCAGTTTCCCAGTCCCTGCCAATGAAAAACATCCCTACAGCATGATGCTGCCAACACCATGCTTCACTGTAATGAGAGGTGTTGGGTTTGCACCAGACATAGCGTTTACCTTGATGGCCAAAAAGCTCAATTTTTGTCTCATCTGACCAGAGCACCTTCTTCCATATGTTTGGGGAGTCTCCCACATGCCTTTTGGCGAACACCAAATGTGTTTGCTTATTTTTTTCTTTAAGCAATGGCTTTTTTCTGGCCACTCTGCCGTAAAGCCCAGCTCTGTGGAGTGTACGGCTTAAAGTGGTCTTATGGACAGATACTCCAATCTCCGCTGTGGAGCTTTGCAGCTCCTTCAGGGTTATCTTTGGTCTCTTTGTTGCCTCTCTAATTAATGCCCTCCTTGCCTGTCCGTGAGTTTTGGTGGGCGGCCCTCTCTTGGCAGGTTTGTTGTGGTGCCATATTCTTTTAAAAAATGTATAATGGATTTAATGGTGCTCCGTTGGATGTTCAAAGTTTCTGATATTTTTTTACAACCCAACCCTGATTTGTACTTCTCCACAACTTTGTCCCTGACCTGTTTGGTGAGCTCCTTGGTCTTCATGGTGCCGCTTGCTTGGTGGTGCCCCTTACTTAGTGGTGTTGCAGACTCTGGGGCCTTTCAGAACAGGTGTATATATACTGAGATTATGTGACAGATCATGTGACACTTAGATTGCACACAGGTGGACTTTATTTAACTAATTATGTGACTTCTGAAGGTAATTGGTTGCACCAGATCTTATTTAGGGGCTTCATAGCAAAGTGGGTGAATACATATGCACGCACCACTTTTCCGTTATTTATTTTTGTGTATTTTTTGAAACAAGTAATTTTGTTCATTTCACTTCACAATTTGGACTATTTTGTGTATGTCCATTCCATGAAATCCAAATAAAAATCCATTTAAATTACAGGTTGTAACACAACAAAATAGGAAAAACGCCAAGGGGGATGAATACTTTTGCAAGGCACTGTATGTCTGTGTGAGGGGGGATTCTGTCTCATACCAAAGTTATGCAGACAGAATTTGTTATATGGGTACTCCTGACCTTTTCCCATATATAAATCCACATCACGCCAGGCCCTTCAAGATAAAATAGTCCCTTAAACTGTATAGAGGCAGCATTAAGACATATTGAGAGTGGCATTAATGATGGCTAGTTAGGAGTACTGAAACAGGCCACATTACAGGCCTAATACCATACATATTTTCAGTATTATAAAGGCCAACCTTGCAGTGGGGCTCTAATGTATACTACATCTATCTTACTGCAACTGTGTTTAATATAACCCCCGTGACTCTGGAGATGAAACAGGCTACTGTGTGTTAGATCTGCATGATTCTGTCATAATTAGCATGTCATTTACCCCTCAAAGTACCTTAACAGAGTACACAGCTGTTTTTCTGCCATGTGTCTGCTGTAAATCAGCTCCAGGAAGTACAGTAATCACATTATGAGCATTAGACCGTCTACCTGTTGTAGTGATTGAAGATGACTTGCTAATCAAGCAGTATGCGAACTCTCTTACAGAGTGATGTAGAGAATGGCAGTGTAGCCTACTATAGTGTAAACAAAGTGTTTCATACTAAATGTTTGTGTTTCTTTGGGGGGTTTAGGTCACTTTTGACCCAACAGTGAGCACTCATGGGGAATGTTGGCAACAATGGGCCGAGAGGTAGGACCAGGGCAGAGTTTACGTGTTTCACACACACACACACACACACACACACACACACACACACACACACACACACACACACTTTTGGAGCACAATGAGGAACTTGTTATATTACAACATGTGATGTATTGTTATGGAGTATAACTGTAACCCTGAGAGAGGCTTCTGTGTTTTTTCTTTTTGTTTTCTCATCCTATATATTCATTCCTCTCTTATCTATCTCTCTATCTATATATCTCTATATCATATATATATATATCTATATATCTCTCTGTATATTATCTCTATCTCTCATAATATATCATATATATGATATATCTATATTAATCATATCTATCTCTCTCTTCTCTCTATATCTTATCGTCTACTCTCTCTCTCTCTCTATGATATATCTCTTATATCATATCTCCTCTCTCTATCTATATATCAGTATTCTCTTCCTCTATCTCTATATATCTCTCTCTTCTATCCTCTATATCTCTCTCTTATCTATATCAGCTCTCTCTAATCGATCTATATATCGCCTCTGCTCTCTATACTCTATCTATATATCTCTACTCCTCTCTTCTCTTTTCTTTATCGCCTTCTCTCTCTCTATCTCTCTATGATATTCTATACGCTCATCTTCTACTCATCTATCGCTCTCTATCGCTCTCTCCTCTCTCTCGCTCTCTCTCTATCTCGCTCTCTCTCTCCCTACTCTCTATCGCTCTCTATCTCTCTATCGCTCTCCTCACCTCTCTCTATTTCTATCGCTCTCTTATCTCACGATCTCGTCTAGCTTCTCCGCATATCTCTTTTCGCATCTCTTTCTCTCTAACCACTTATACTCCAAATCTCTCTCTAGTATCTCTCTTCTCTCTATCTCTCTCTCATCATCTCTATCTCTCTTTTACCCTCTCTCTCTCTATATTCTCTCTCTCTTATCGCTCTTATACTATTCTCTATCGTCCTACTCATCGCTCCCCTTTCTCATCGCTCCTACATTCTCTATCTCTCTCTCTTCTATACGCTCTCTCTCTTCTCTATCTCTATCTCTCTCTCTCTATCGCTCCTCTCTCTCTCTCTATCGCTTCTCTCTCTATCGCTCTCCCTCTCTCTCTCTCTATCTCCTCTCTCTTTCGCTCTCTCTCTCTCATAGCTCTCTCTCCCTCTATCTCTATCGCTCTCTCTCTCTCTCTCTCTCTCTCGCTCTCTCTCTCTATCGCTCTCTCTCTCTCTCTCTCTCTCTCTATCGCTCTCTCCCTCTCTCTCTCTCTCTCTCTCTCTCTCTCTCGTAGCAACAACAAAAGTCACCAGCATTTCTAAGGACCTTTATAGAACTCTAAAGTCTGAAGCTATAGACACTCCCCACTGGGCACAGACGTCAATTCAACGTCTATTCCACGTTGGTTCAATGTAATCTTTTTTAAATGACTCGGAAACAACGTTGATTCAACAAGTGTGTGCCCAGTGGGTCATTAGATGATTGTAATTCTGGGACAACAGACCAACTGGCAAGTGTCTTCACTGACATTTTCAACCTCTCCTTGACCGAGTCTGTAATACCTACATGGTACCACCATAGTCCCTGTGCCCAAAAAAGCGAAGGTAACCTGCCTAAATAACTATCGCCCCGTAGCACTCACGTCGGTAGCCATGAAGTGCTTTGAAAGGCTGGTCATGACTCACATCAACACCATCATCCCGGAAACCTTAGACCCACTCTAATTTGCATACTGCCCCAACAGATCCATAGATGATGCGCCACGTCTAGGTCCAAAAGGCTCCTTAACAGCTTCTACCCCCAAGCCATTAGACTGCTGAACAATTAATAAAATGCCCACCAGACTATTTACATTGACACTTGCTGTTTATTATCTATGCATAGTCACTTTACCCCTATCTACATGTACAAATTACCTCGACTAACCTGTATCCCTGAACATTGACTCGGTACCAGTACCCCCTGTATATAGCCTCGTTATTGTTATTTTATTTGTTACTTTTATTTTATTTTTTACTTTAGTTTATTTAGTTAAGATTTTCTTAACTCTATTTCTCAAACTGCATTGTTGGTTGAGGGCTTGTAAGTAAGCATTTCACTGTTGTATTCGGTGCATCTGACAAATAAGATTTGATTTGATTTGATTTTAACTGACGACTAGACTAGATTTAGTCTAGATACAGAAGAGGTAGAAGCTGAGACACTATGATATCAATAACCTGAAACCATTACCTATTTCCTATTGAACAGCAACAGTGTCAGCTTCAATATCTCGCAGCCAGATAATCCCAAGGGTCCTCTCCTTTCCTGAATCCCACACATTTTCCTTAATGTTGAATGTTACGCTCTGTTTGTTATTCTTAATGCATATATAATATCCTCCTCAGGGTTATTCATTGACGTGGCTGTGTGTATCTTCGCTTCGTGATTAATAGGTTGCCCTGTGGATGAACAATGTATAAAATGTACAAATGGTGCCTTGCACTACGAAATACTTCATTTTTTGCTCTTGGGAGAAAAACCCTCCATAGTTTTAGTTATTTTGGCCGCTGTCCACTGTATGAAAATGTATATGGCTCTTTCTGGAGTGATAAGGGATGATTGTTTCAACAAATGCCAAGAGAGAAACATACTGTAGGTTACTCTACAAGAAAGGCATGCTCTGTTGATGCAGATGTTTAATATCTGGACTAAGTGTAGCCAACTATTATTTATCTTTGAAAAATGACCATTGCAAGATTTTTGACTCATTTGAGTCATTTAGCAGATGTATTATTATATGATGTCGTTTCTATTTCCTTCCTATAGCCTATGATGCAGAATTCTACAATTGTTATGACAAATATGTAAACATGATGGAAACAAGAGATTAAGACCTAATACCAGTTTAGACCTTGAAGTTTTTCAGCAAATCTACTTCTAATAAAAATGATGATGAGTTATGACATCTGTTCTTCCAATCACACCCAATTCTTAATAATAAGTCACTACTAAACCTGAGATGAGGTTACAATGTGACATTATTAGGGGCTTCGGTTCCGTGCGCAATGGGTTATATGGACACCCTACCCATCCCAGCCTGTAGAAAATCATGTGAAGGTAACCAGACAAACAGACGTCACTTTAGCTCAGCAAACTTCAAGAACACACAAGGGATCCCCACTCTCGAGGTGTTCTGGATGGAAATCAACACGCAAGCGCGGGGAAATGATCCATAACGCGATTTGTTTTTATGAACAGAGCTGTCAGCGCCGTTGCGAACCACTGCCCTAAAGATCCGGTCAAGTCCAAACATGATCCTCATGGGGACAGAGCTTGTGCTCTGCATTCCCTGCGGCGCGCGCTTTTGTTTAAGCTAGAACACTCACAGCTATTTATAACGCCACGCAGCACAATTTACCATTTGTGAGTGAGTGGGCAGTTAGTTGGCTTTCTAGGGTGTCCACTGTCTCTGTAGCCTGATGACTCATGCAAACCTCACCTGCCACGTTGCATGCGCGAGCATTGCCAAATAAATGTACACATCACATTTACATTTTAGTCATTTAGCAGATGCTCTTATCCAGAGCGACTTATATGAGCAATTGGGGTTAAGTGCCTTGCTCAAGGGCACATCAACATGCACGAACCAGCATCTGCTGAGCCAAGTGCTGGAGCCAAGTGCTAAAATAGATGGAGGCAGGTAGCCTAGAGTTATTGTGTTGGGCCAGTAACTGAAAGGTCGCTGGTTTGAATACCTAATCCCAAATCTGCCTATGTGCACTTGAGCAAGGCACTTAACCCTAATTTTCCCCAGTGGTGCTGTACTACTATGGCTGACCCTGTAAAACAACACATTTCACTGCACCTATCTGGTGTATCTGACAATAAAACCCATATTATTTTATTTGACTAAATCAACATGTGCAGATGGTGGCAGGTGTAACCATGGTGTGAGACTGCCATCATTGAAGTCCTTTGTGTTGACAAGGGGCACAAGGGGCATTGTACAAAACAAAGTAATCAATGATTGGATCATCTCTAACCAATCAGAGTATCAAAGCCAATGAAGAATTTTCAAACCCCTGTTTTACCCAAGTGTGTTCTGGCTCTGGCCCAACCCATCGGTTCCTGGACCAATCAGACGGCCCCGAATGTGTTCACATTTGATGACCCATTGGGGTCCTCAGATCCAGACTCATTTACATTTACGTCATTTAGCAGACGCTCTTATCCAGAGCGACTTACATGAGCAATTAGGGTTAAGTGCCTTGCTCAAGGGCACATCTACAGATTTTTCACCTAGTCGGCTCGGGGATTAGAACCAGCGACCTTTCGGTTACTGGCACAACGCTCTTAAGCACTAAGCTACCTGCCGCCCAGACTCATTGCAGAGAAGAAAGTAACGTCCGTGGGCGTGGCGTAGTGTTCGGCCAGAGTAGGGAGTCTGGGTAGCCAGGCAAGCCTGCAGCTGTTGCTGCCAACTGAAGCGGGATATAGGCCTGTTGCATCTATTAAAGCGATTTTTAAGCTCCAAGATAGAGATAGCGTTTGGAAAAACTAGAACAGACCCAAATGTTTGAAATAGCGAAGAACCCCATACATCCTACTTAAATTAGGCCTGTGTCATTTGTTCTGGCCCTGGGCCAGTGTGGCCTAACCATTCAAATTAGGCCCACTCTTTCCGTCTCACTCTCAGCTACTTGGAAAGGCAATATTGCTGGTGTATAACTATTAAGTTAAACAATTTAAACTAGGCCAGTATGAAATCTAACTTATAAAATACTGTAATTATAATTTTGAGCAGACAATGAGAGTTTTGCAGCCTTGAGGCAGAGCGTTTGGTATACAGCTGCTATGGCCCCTAAAGCTGACCGTGCTGGGCCAGACAGAGAGACAGAGTTCTTACCTGCGCCCGTATCCTTGTTCTTGCTGTCGGTGCCCGGTTCCTGGGCTTGCTTGTCGTTGTCACAAGTCCCCTGGTCCAGCCGTGCTTCAGTGCTGGAGCAGCAGTACCGGAGCTCGCATTTTCCGCAGCAGATGATGGCATCCTCACCATCGAACTTCTCCGGGCACTGAAAGCCCTCTCTCCAGGTGCCCTGGGTGTCATGCCAACCGTGACAGTACTCTCCACTCGCCTTAACGTCAATAATAACCAGGAGCAGAGTCACAACCACGGTGACAGACATTGGGAGACCTCGGCCACCCCACATCCCGACCCCGGTACCCGTGTGGGCGCGCTATAAGAGACGGAGGCTTTCTTTCTCTCAGGCTCTAACCTGGTTAACGGAGTGATACGGTGGATGGATGAAATGAAAGAAAGAGGGGCGACAAAGTGGAAACAAAACAAACGTCTTTGAAACTGTCATTTGACAGTGGAATTCCGTGCATAGCCTAATTCAATAGATCCACAAATGTGTCACCAAAGCGCTCATTTTAGAAGTATCCACTGTTTGAAGTTTATCACAAGATTCCAAGTAGTTTATTTACGATTGTTGGGAAAATAAACCATGATACCCAGGACATAAATACATTTGACACCAATCATATAAATAGCCTATTTTTTTGCGCGTATTTCACTCCTCATTCCACGGCTGTGAGCTCTGGGAGTCCCGGGTAAATCCAACATCAATCCAGGCTGAACGGAATCCCTCTGGCACGGAAGCGAGGCTGTCCATGGTCTCCTGAAAATGCACTACTCGAATGACTTTCCCTCAGATAGCAGCGAAACCAACCCTGGCTTTACATGTAATCCATACGCGCCCTGCGAGTGTTCTCACGGAATCTTCCTCTGTCCAGTCCACCAGCCCAGCAAGTTGTGTTTCTCCTCTTCTAATGCATGTCGATTAACTCCTCCAAATGTTATCTACAGTAGACTAACATGTAGGAAACTAGACCATGAGACTAAAATCGAACAGAGCATGGTATTCACCGTTTCTGGTGGATAGTCTACGTCAGAAAGAGACGTGCAAGTGATGTCAACTTTGCACCCATTCATACAGTATTGCCTCCCAGTCCGAGTTCAGCTAGGGCGAGTGCCTCGAATCAGCGTGTCCAGTTTCAATGAAAGGTGGGCAACAGTTAAACTTCCGCTTGCGCATTGGTCATTGACATGTTCCTATACTTTTCAGTGCTCAGCTCAGCCAGCCAGCCAGTTGTCAGTATGAACAAGTGTCACTGCGCTCCGTCCCGAGGAGCCCCTCCGCTTTCCGAGGGTAGCCCCCGTGCGGTGTTGGGTGTGGTTACCCCCTTGGGACCCCTGCGCGCACAATGGAAGCCCCGATTGTTGAATGGAGTGCACTATTTACTGCTGGCGGAGCGGCACTCTCACTCATACATTATCACTTTAAATTGACTTGTGTGCATAAAAACTATGGCCAAGACGCACGCACGTACACACACACACACACACACACACACATATTTGGATATTAATAGGCCCTATCAAGTGAATACTAACTCATTACCTACCTACTTATTTTCTGTTAGGCTATATTGCATGCTCAGTGTTCATGGTCATGGGCATAAGGTGTATTCTATTAGAGCTAGACAATGACAATAGTAGTTATGCTATAGGCCTTGTTATGCTATGTGTATAGTGATGGGAAAAGTACCCAATCGTCATGCTTGAGTAAAAGTTAAAAGATACCTTAATAGAAAATGACTCAAGTAAAAGTGAAAGTCACCCAGTAAAATACTACTAAAGTAAAAGTCTAAAAGTATCTGGTTTTTAAAATACTTAAGTACCAAACGTAAATGTAATTGCTAAAATACACATAAGTATCAAAAGTAAAAGTATAAATCATTTCAAATTCCCTATTATAAGCAACCCAGACGGCAAGATTGTCTTGTTTTTCTAATTTACAGATAGCCCGGGCCATGCTCCAACACTCTTTACAAAGGAAGCATGTGTGTTTAGATCAGAGCCAGTAGAGATGACCAGGCAAAGGAAGCATGTGTGTTTAGATCAGAGCCAGTAGAGATGACCAGGCAAAGGAAGCATGTGTGTTTAGATCAGAGCAGTAGAGATGACCAGGCAAGAAGCATGTGTGTTTAGATCAGAGCCAGTAGAGATGACCAGGCAAAGGAAGCATGTGTGTTTAGATCAGAGCCAGTAGAGATGACCAGGCAAAGGAAGCATGTGTGTTTAGATCAGAGCCAGTAGAGATGACCAGGCAAAGGAAGCATGTGTGTTTAGATCAGAGCCAGTAGAGATGACCAGGCAAAGGAAGCATGTGTGTTTAGATCAGAGCCAGTAGAGATGACCAGGCAAAGGAAGCATGTGTGTTTAGATCAGAGCCAGTAGAGATGACCAGGCAAAGGAAGCATGTGTGTTTAGATCAGAGCCAGTAGAGATGACCAGGCAAAGGAAGCATGTGTGTTTAGATCAGAGCCAGTAGAGATGACCAGGCAAAGGAAGCATGTGTGTTTAGATCAGAGCCAGTAGAGATGACCAGGCAAAGGAAGCATGTGTGTTTAGATCAGAGCCAGTAGAGATGACCAGGCAAAGGAAGCATGTGTGTTTAGATCAGAGCCAGTAGAGATGACCAGGCAAAGGAAGCATGTGTGTTTAGATCAGAGCCAGTAGAGATGACCAGGCAAAGGAAGCATGTGTGTTTAGATCAGAGCCAGTAGAGATGACCAGGCATAATCTCTTGATAAGTGCGTGAATTTGACCATTCTACTGTCCTGCTCTCAGTAATGAGTACTTTTGGGTGTCAGGGAAAATGTACGGAATAAAAAGTATATTATTTTCTTTAGGGATGTAGTGGAGTAAAAGTAAAAGTTGTCAAAAATATAAATAGTAAAGTACAGTACAGATACCCCAAAAAACTACTTTACACCACTGTATGTGTCGGTCTACTGTTCTATCATCTAGCACAATTGAAACATTATGGGAGCTGAAAATCATTAGTCAGATGACATTGCCTCCTGGTGGTTATAAATATTAGCACACATGATAGTATAATCTTTTTCCCCATAATTAAGACACATTGTTTATATTTTTATTTGGGGACGTGATGAACAGTTGGCCTATGTTTCAGGTCATTCTATTTTAACTGTTCAGCCCAATCTGAAGCTCTACTAGCTACACTACACCCCTTGCTTGTGGCTATGTTGAAAACTACATTTCCCGTTATGCTCTACTGTCAAATAGCGTCCTTGGTAACTAGGAAGCGAAGTAATTTAACCCAGAAGCGCGCAACTGTTGGACACAGCGCCAGTCCACAACCGTAAGAAAACATTGACAGCTTTTTCTCAGAGCACAATCTGGATTGGACATCTTGTGTGCACGGATCGTGCTGCATCAATGCCTGGGAGAGTGAAATGATTAATTGCCCACATAAAGAAGGCAAATCCCACTGTATCATTCACAGAGAGGCATTGGCCAGCAAGAGAATGAGTCCTGAGTTACATGATGTTTTGAATGACGCGGTGAAAGTGATTAACTTTATCATGTCCAGGCCTCTGAATCACCGACTGTTTGAAAGGCTCTGTGATGACAGTGGGAATGAGCACCAGCAGCTACTGCTTCACACCATCGTCCGTTGGCTATCCAGAGGGAAAAACGCTACAGATTTTCTGTCTGAGCACTCACACCCCCTTGTGGCTGTGTTCGATGACACAGACTGGGGAGCCCGCCTTGCCTGTCTTGCTGATGTCAGCAAACTGAACAACCTGAATCTACAGTACCTTGGAAAAGTATTCAGCCCCCTTGGTGTTTTTCCTATTTGTTGCATTACAACCTGTAATTTAAATGGATTTTTATTTGGATTTCATGTAATGGACATACACAAAATAGTCAAAATTGAAGTGAAATTCAAAAAATAACTTGTTTCAAAAAATTCTAAAAAATTTATAACGGAAAAGTGGTGCGTGCATATGTATTCACCCCCTTTGCTATGAAGCCCCTAAATAAGATCTGGTGCAACCAATTACCTTCAGAAGTCACATAATTAGTTAAATAAAGTCCACCTGTGTGCAATCTAAGTGTCACATGATCTGTCACATGATCTCAGTATATATACACCTGTTCTGAAAGGCCCCAGAGTCTGCAACACCACTAAGCAAGGGGCACCACCAAGCAAGCGGCACCATGAAGACCAAGGAGCTCTCCAAACAGGTCAGGGACAAAGTTGTGGAGAAGTACAGATCAGAGTTGGGTTCAAAAAAAATATCAGAAACTTTGAACATCCCACGGAGCACCATTAAATCCATTATTAAAAAATGGAAAGAATATGGCACCACAACAAACCTGCCAAGAGAGGACCGCTCACCAAAACTCAATGACCAGGCAAGGAGATCATTAATCAGAGCGGCAACAAAGAGACCAAAGATAACCCTGAAGGAGCTGCAAAGCTCCACAGCGGAGATTGCAGTATCTGTCCATAGGACCACTTTAAGCCGTACACTCCACAGAGCTGAGTGTCCAGAAAAAAGCCATTGCTTAAAGAAAAAAATAAGCTAACACATTTGGTGTTCACCAAAAGGCATGTGGGAGACTCCCCAAACATATGGAAGAAGGTACTCTGGTCAGATGAGACTAAAATTGAGCTTTTTGGCCATCAAGGAAAACGCTATGTATGTCTGGCGCAAACCCAACACCTCTCATCACCCCGAGAACACCATCCCCAGAGTGAAGCATGGTGGTGGCAGCATCATGCTGTGGGGATGTTTTTCATCGGCAGGGACTGGGAAACTGGTCAGAATTGAAGGAATGATGGATGGCGCTAAATACAGGGACATTCTTGAGGGAAACCTGTTTCAGTCTTCCAGAGATTTGAGACTGGGACGGAAGTTCACCTTCCAGCAGGACAATGACCCTAAGCATACTGCTAAAGCAACAATCGAGTGGTTTAAGGGGAAACATATAAATGTCTTGGAATGGTCTAGTCAAAGCCCAGACCTCAATCCAATTGAGAATCTGTGGTATGACTTAAAGATTGCTGTACATCATTGGAACCCATCCAACTTGAAGGAGCTGGAGTAGTTTTGCCTTGAAGAATGGGCAAAAATCCCAGTGGCTAGATGTGCCAAGCTTATAGATACATTCCCCAAGAGACTTGCAGCTGTAATTGCTGCAAAAGGTGGCTCTACAAAGTATAGACTTTGGGGGGTGAATAGCTATGCATGCTCAAGTTTTCAGTTTTTTTGTCTTATTTCTTGTTTGTTTCACCCCCAAAAATATTTTGCATCTTCAAAGTGGTAGGCATGTTGTGTAAATCAAATGACACAAACCCCCAAAAATCCATTTTAATTCCAGGTTGTAAGGCAACAAAATAGGGAAAATGCCAAGGGGGTGAATACTTTCGCAAGCTACTGTATCTGTGACTAACAGATACATATTGGTATTCCCAGTCATGTAACATCCATAGATTAAGGCCTAATTAATTTATTACTGATTTCCTCATATGAACTGTAAGTCAGTAAAATCTTTGAAATTGTTGCATGTGGCGTTTATATTTTTGTTCAGTGTATATATACAGTGGATATCATAAATATTCACCCCACTTGGATTTTTTCACAAAGTGGGATTGAAATAGATTTAGTTGTTATTTTTTTGTCATTGATCTACACAAAAGTGAAAAGAAAATTCTACAAATGTTAACAAATTAATACAAATTGTATAACTAAAATATAGTTGTTTATATATATTTTCACATTATGAGGTTGGAATAATACTGTGAAATTGTGAACATTATGATAATGCACTTTTAGTGTAAGAGCTGTTTGAAAAGACTGCCGGGAATTTCAGCTTGTTTGGCTGGGAGGGGTTTTTGGCGGTGTAAGTTAATAGACCAATAACAACGAGAGTTTGCTCTCCTCTCTCTGACAATAATAGCTACAGTGCTTTCAGAAAGTATTCATACCCCTTGACTTATTCCACATTTTGTTGTGTTCCAGCCCTAATTCAAAATGGATTAAATATATTTTTTCTCTCACCCATCTATACACAATACCCCATAATTATAACGACACAGGATGAGACCCAGATGCAGACACAGGAGGCAGATGGTTCGAGTCTCTGATATTTATTAATAGAGGGGCAG